CCTCAATCATTCGAACAAAGAGAACAACTATTTTCGAACACTTCTTAATAAACAAACTGGTGAGGTACGTTAATGGGACGGTTCTATTGCTTAATTCTAACAGATCGCGGTAAATTTGTTGCAGTTTTAGCTAATGCATATCGCAATTCGCGTCACAAGTTACTTCTGTTGCTTGCTTTGACTTTCATTTTCACCACCGTTTAAAATCCACTTTCGCAGACGTACGTAGTGGCGAATTGGATCAGTATTCTCAACCTGTTTCCGATAACATGATTACTGGTCACTAATCTTTGCCCAAAATGTTGCTTGTTGTCTGTTTCGGTATTTCATTTTCCGTATGTTGTCTTCACGAAGTCCGTGGAACTGTGCTTCGGCTTCAATGTCCGTAGCTGGAAATATTCTTTCATCCACTGAAATGCATCTTAGCACCCGAATGATTATTTGGCAACTTCACAAATCTTTAAAATGTTTGCTGACAGAGTATATCACAGATGACAAGTAGTGAGTTATTTGAAATGTAGGTATGCATTTTTCCTTGCTTCCGAAGAGGCAGCATTGTTAGATCTTGGAATATCAAAATGTTGTCAAAACCAGCTCAGCCTTGATAAAGCTGCAATATTCGTAGAAAAACGGCTACTCTATCCTGAGCCATTCAAACATTCATCACATTTCTTTGCAAGCTGTAGCTAAGATTATTTGTTTCTCAGAATAAATCCGCAATTTATTCCAGTTTAGTGATAACTGCACTGTCTGTTAGTAGGGTGCGTAACCCGTTCTCATTATCTTTATGCAGCCCTTTCCTTTCTACAGACAGCAATTTCTTCTCGAAGTTCTAGCACACGGTGCTACAAGTCGCCCCGCGATAGCCAACGCCCTTCTGAGTGGAACAACAATACGTCGAAATTGCCGCCAAATTTATTGCACAACTTTTTGAAAACGCTTGTGTTTGTCGCATTACCGCAGATTAAATTTACAATTTTCACTGCCTGCAAATGATTCAGTCCGACCTTGGTTGTTCAGCCCAGGCAAAGAAAGCATCGAACGCGAGCATTCGAAATTTGGGCCTTCTCCGGCGCACATTTGGACGCTTCGATCCATCCGTTTTTCACCAACTTCTAAGTGCATACATACGACCACACGTGGAATATGCAATACAAGTCTGGCAGCCGTGGCTGAGGAAAGACCTCTCTGATTTAGAGAAACCTCAACGACGCGCAACGAAGAACGTGAAAGGTTTAGGCCAGTTACGCTACGAAGACAGACTGAGATTGCTCGGGATATTTTATTGGTCAATATCGACGACTACGGGGAGATTTGATTTTGGCTTATCAGATTCTGACAGACCCCAATCATACCTGCCGCCATCTGCTGGAGCTCAGTAACAACAACAATCTGAGAGGCCATCATCTGAAGCTGGCAGTGCAGTACAGCCGTTTGGAATGTCGACGGAATTTCTTTTCCGTGCGTGTTTGCCAAGCCTGGAATGCTCTCCCAGAATCTGTATTCAGTGCACCCAACCTGATCGAGTTCAAAAATCGAGTTGATAGTGCACTCACTTCATTGCACTATCTCCCATAGTACAGTTTAATTTTGAGAGATCCAAAATATATACTATAAAAATAATTTTCCCCCACGCAAATTTCAACAGTGGATTTATATTTTGACGCTTCAAACTCAAACACTTTGCCCCATGCGAATTTCAAGGGGCGGTGACTCTTTTAACCAAATACTCCATACCTCATGATCCCCTCCGGAGTTATAGTGGATTATTATTTTGACACTTCAAACTCGGTGAGTCCACAAGCTTGTAGTGACTCGTTGTTAAACGATTTTACTGAATTGGTTTCCACTGAATTTTTCACACTTTTACGATTTTCGCACTGATCACCCTACGGGATTTGTCAAGCTTTAGCTTTCATACCCGCATAAATCCATTGTTCCATCTAGCAAAGCAGATTGTTGAGTGTTCAGTGTTAAGGCATGGCGATGTATAATGCAGTAGCTAAATGTAGCTTGCGGAGAAACTGTTATCACTTATGTTTGGAATTCGAAAAGAACGTCCAACATGGACAGTGTTCCGTCTGTACAGACACCCACTAAGTTCGATCACAGCAGATTCTATTCAATAAAATTCTCCACTGTTGGATAGACATCTTTGTCAAGTACATTGGTGCTCAGTGATCCTCAGAACCACTACTCTTATTTGTAGTCGTCGCCTTTTATGTACCGAACATACACAAGTAGGTTGGAACAGGATGCAATGTTTGTCGGTTTATCTATTGTGCGAATAAAAGAACTTGACGAAAGTCGTCATTGAGCACTGTGTCCAAAATATTCCTGCTCATGTCGTTGATGCAAGTTTCGATGGTGCTGGTAGAAAGCGATGCCAAACTTATCTTTCCCGCAGGTTGCTCTCCAAGAACGAGCTTAACCGCGTCCAATATGCAAGGTTTGATGAGATCTTCTCTACTTGTATGAGGATCCTTGTTTTCGGCGATTTGCAGAGCGATGCGGTACGAAGCTTCAAGATCAGTTTCTGTTGGCTTAAAGCGTAGCTCGACGTATCCATGCGCGCACAGTTCAGTGCCACTTCTTTACCTTTGAAGAATATAACATTCTTATGTCGCCCGCCGACTGTTGACGCACACACGACCGCAGAGAGAACGCGAAGATGAGTCAGGATCGAGTTCTTTTACACGAGTAATCTGCTCATTTAAATAGGGGACAGCAGTAGTTCTAACCAGACTAGTAAAACACGTTTGAGCCAACCATCAACCTAGCAGACACTGAATAATGCAGGCGAATAAGAAGTGGTTAACACAAGAGCCAATCAGGCGATTTGAGGAAATGGCGTTGGCAGCAATAGACCTCTGAGGTGACATCCATTTCAAACGACATAGGCCAATCAGCTCAAAGAATTAATGCATTTAAACAAATGTCAAGAAACCAACGGTAGCGAAACACAAGCAGGTAACTAAAACTTCCAAAAAATAAACGTCCACTTCTCAACCTCCTAAGAAATATATTTTGCTAAAAAAGGAGAATGAGTTCGTTCAAAGTTATATTTCAATTTTCAAGGATTCGTATCCTCTGCCATGAGCACTTTGCTGCACAAAACATATTAGTGCTACTCAACAATTTGCTCGATAAAATTTGTAAAGCTCCAGTGCTTGAAAGTTGCTTTATACAGTTTTATATATATATATATATATATATATATATATATGTTGTTGCTGCCTACCTAATGCCTCTTCACCGCAGGTGGGTTAAAACGAAGAACACTTAAAGCAGATCATGTTAATCGGGATAAAAGTCACTCCAGTTTATACGATTTCTTCAGTTCTGATATTCTGCCGCAAATTCTGTGTCAGTTTTGTGTGTTCGCTTTCCCTCAAATCCTATGTTGGTTGTTTGATAGCCCTGTGTAGTTGCGCTTGATGCGCAAATTGACAAGGTGCCTGCCTGTCTAACACCATCTACCTCGATTATTGTCGCCAGGAAACTGAATCGTCGCTTGGGGAAGGGGGTGCTCGGTCCTCGTGATCGTGCTAGGCTCAAAGAGTAGTCACATTCAGTGTGGAGCGGACTACGGCCCAGTCACCGCCTTTTGTACGTTTGGTACGCATGATTCCCTACAGAGATAGACATGAATGCTGCTGCTGTGCTTGGTGAAGGAGTGTGGACCGGCTCCGTTGAAGAAACTTGGCTCCAACGCATATGATTCCTGGTCTCATTCCTTCGGATTTATTATGGATATGGGGCGTGTGTTTGGAGCTGTGAGTGGTGCAGCAAAATCCACCCGTCGTCCCTCTGTATGTGCAGGCGTCCCGTGGCTGTCCTATGGCGGTCGTAGTGACAGGCAAATCCAGCATCTGGTGCCGCCAAGCATATATGCACGCAAGTTAAGACAAGTGACTATAATACAAGCTATATTGCCCTAAAAATTTTCAAATAATCTCACCAACCTCTATATTAAACACAACACAACTAATTCCATCACGTGCTCCTGTTTCTCGTCAAAAACAACGATAGCTGAATGTGATCAACCCAACACTTAATGAACACTGACCTCTAACCTACACTATCAACATTGGTTGTTCGACCCCAAACCTAAAATTTCATACACTTGATAACACTTGCTGTTATCCCGATTCAAGACATCTTAGGACCATTTGTGTGTGATCTTTTTACAAGTATGAACATGTGTCAAGGGCTTCTCATTTGTTTCGACCATCCCTTCCAACTCCGTTGTGGATGACATCTTTCTACCACCACTCTGCCTCGACACGTCCTGAACACTAATAGCCTGTTTTGTCCATACTATCATGTAAACATTAGCTTGTTTTATTTCCCGGTCGGTTGACGTATGCTGCCGACTAAGTGTTCACCAAACTATATAATTTGACTCGGCGAACGACAGCCTGATTAAAAAGAACACCGATGCAAGATCGAGCAGATGGAGACGCCGTCTAGCTGTGCTGCTTTGCAAGCTTGTATTCGTAATTTAGGTGATACAATTAAGTACCGAAAATTGTCTAATCCATTGACCACTCACTAACAATTGGAAATGATTGTGCAGTCGGCTACATGTTCTGAGGCATTTGATTATGTTTAGCGATTGATTGATAACGCACCCCTCCTATTTATATTTACCCCCGTAAGCTTCCAATTTTCCCCTTAGGGGTTTTGACCCCCAGGTTTAAAACCACTAGTCTCGAGTAACTCATTTCGGACCGCTGAGGTAGCAGTGCGGATGACGAAATGTTTGATTTAATCTTGGTAGCCATATTCGACAGACGTACCCATCACAATGCCTCAATAAAGGGCTATGTGGTGTGGATCGTGTTAGCAAGGTCAGTAAGTACGCTGGCGTATACAGACATCATGGTTCACTGGTTCTATCGATGCGCCGTTCGCGGTGGAGTGTGCGTAGTTAAAGCAAATAAGTTTGTGAGGGATAGTGCAAAAACGAAATCTGGTATTCAAAATGTTTCACTTACCAACCGTTTGACTGATGCGGGAGACGTAGAATGCATTGATGTCTATCTCCCTCGTGACGTAAACGCACACAGTCAAGTGTGCGTCCCATGTTCGACATGGTTGGGCTGTTTAGTATTAGCTTGTTTCGTTCGACGATTAACGAATGGTATTTCACCGGCCTTCCTTCATACGGACAACTATGGTCGTCCTCGATCAGGTTCCATCGTCCCATCAGATATTTTGGAAAACTGCATGGGTCCCGCACCAGCCCATCTGAAAAATATTACCAATTTGCTTAAGTAGTCTGCAGTAGCTTATTGACTAGTACCATAGCTATACATACTAACAGCATGGTGTTAACTAGATTAAGTACTGTAGTGAAGCCCAGCTGCTAGTATCCTCCTCACTCGCTACACAAGCCACGGGGCCTTGATTCGCCCCCCTCGCAAAATACCTCTCCGTAGGCCCCGTGGACTGTCAACCAACTATGTGTGATTCACTGTCTCCTGTGTGAGCTCATATTAATATGAGCATCAATACGCACCCAAAATTTCGCCTCCATATTAGGTTTACTATTCGGGATCATTACAGTAAGGCATTCAGTCACAACAACATTAATGTAAGGGGTGAGCGTGCCTTATCATTGCAGGTTGTTTGGGGTAAATAACCTGTGACAGAAGCAAGGTTTGCGAGTTTAAGTTCAAGTGAGAGCCGAACTAGTCTTCTCTGTTTCCCAGATTCTGACTAGTTTTGTGCCAATTTGAGGTTGATTTCTTGTCCGAAACTTCATGAGCAGCCTTAAGTTAGAAATACCTTGTTTTCAATGTCGTGCTTCGACCATTTTGGGAAAGTACATGATATTAATAAAGCATGAAAAGGTTACCGCACCAAATATTGCTGCTTGGGATACATCATTGCTAAATTTCTCATTAGCACAGCACCAATCCACTTTGCTTTGCTACAATAACTATGTGTTACGGGATAGCTGAAGTACCAGAACCGATTTTACGCAGTTGCCTAAGCCTAGACTGACTCGCCGAACAACCTCCCCATGGCGCCAGATGAGTGGCTCTGGTCAGTCTCGTTCCAGCGAATGGTTCGGTGGCAGTGTTTGATTACGTGGTGGGTTTCCGCCTAACAGGCTGTCTCCCTAGGGAAAGACACAAATGTCCTTTTTATATCACTGCGATGTGGCGTATATGACTTGCCACTAAATACTTTCACTGCCTATTGCCGCCTCCACGGAAGTCATTGATACACGTCGAAAAGTTTCAATGATAGTTTATTGCACTGGCAACATGAGCTAACACAAACATAAATGCAGAGCCACCCAGACAAATACAATCAACTTAGCTACATAAATACATACTCATACACACACATGGTTGGCGGCATCCGGTTTCCGATTTATCTGTCACTGTGGCTAGCCACAGGACGCCTGCCCTTACAAAGGAACCATGGATGGCTTGCGCCGCATCACCCACAGCTCCATCCACACACCCCATATCCAGTGTAAACCCGAAGAAATAAGACAAGGATGCATGCAGATGGGAGCCACGTTTCATCAACGGAGCCGGCCCACACTCCTTCACAGGCATGCACGATCACGCTGTATTTGGGAATCAAGCGCATACAAGGCGGTGGCTGGACCATAGTCCGCTCCACACTGAGTGCATGGAACTGCACTTCGAGCCTAGCACGACCACAAGGACCGTGCACCCCGTCCCCTCCAGCAACGACCAACTGTCTCCTGGAGCCAGTATGGACGATTTAGTGGGTAATAGACAGGTAGGCACCTTGTGAACATGCACATCAAGCGCAGCCACTCCTGGGATGTCAAACAACAGCCAATCATTTGAAATGCTGATGTCAAATAAACGATCTGGAATAAAGTAAACGTATATGATGACATAAATACTCGCTAAATGAGCAAATGCAGTAAAGTGGTTATAAGCAAATCCACGATAAGCACAAAATTTTCGAATGTTATTCAAAAATTAATGCGTGATAAATTTACGCAACGTTACCACAGTTAGCATGAGCGACGTGTGCAAGTTAGCAGAAGATTATCAAGCACGCATAACGAACCAAATGAAGTGGAATTAATTGTATTTACATTAAAATGTCTTAGTTTAAATCTAGGTTGGTTTAGCCCAATCGCGGTGAGGAAGCATCATGAATGCAACATCTGTCTCAGCATGGGGCACACACACACACACTTATATATATATAAGTAGTTTACTTGTAAAATGTTTGTACAGTTACAGATCGTGCTTGTTTTGTTTCACCATGACCATGCCTGTGCAGACGTGTTTCGCAATGTCGGAAACAAACAGCTCATTTTCTTCCATTAAAAGTAGCCTAAAGTAATGTCCGACTGTTTAGTGTCAACTGTGTTTGACAGCACAAATCCGGTTGCTTAACGTGCATTGTTCAACCAAATGAATAGAGTGGCAATTCATTGGCGCTCCAGATGATGAATTGTAACAGGCCATAGTGCTCGATTAATTCAGAGAAAAAGCAGCCATCCGCACCCCGATGGCGAACATTTGCAAACATCAGTTGTGTGGTGCGCACCAATGACGAGGTGTTAGCCGGACTATGAGATTGAAGATTTATAAGTAAAAGCTTATAAATCGTGATTTTAAACGCACAAGACGAAGAAAGCTCGATGAGATGTCCGTAACGTAGTAATTTAGGGAAGGTATCAGTTGACAGCAGGGTCTAATTGAAGCAGCGTAGAGCGAAAGAAATCAGGATCCCAGCTCTCAAACGTACTGTCATCACAGGCCATCGATTAAGAGACCAGAGTTGCACGCATTCCTTTAAACTCCATGAAGTTGGGGAAGAGACGAATGCAGCACTCTTTGATGGTTGCCCCATGAGCATAACCTAGTCCCAAGTGAATGGACGGCGGTGCCCCGTCCACCATAGTGAAACGAATCAAAAAATCATTGCCTACTTGCTTTCTGCTGAAACAGCACCACTTCAGATGAGATGTGTAAGTGAAGTGTGGAAGCAGGTCTCCGACTGACGGTTCCATGATGGGCCCGTAATACTTTACTTGAGCTGACGGCTATAGCTTCTTTTAGTCACACCCCAACTTCTCCATATTTTACCACTTTTAACTGATTAAGCACCTCAACCATTCCACAGATCTAGAGAAGTCTCTCCCCCATCAGACTTAGTTTTACCAATTTAGCAGGCTTGCATTCTGCCTGTGTCTCGTAAGTCAAGAAACATACTTTTAACTTAGTTTGTTATTCAATGGAGGACGTGGCTTCGCTCACACCAGTTGGGCCTTTCAAGAAAGATTGGCATCGACCTCCCCAGTCAATGTAGACAGTTTTGGAGGCTCTTGTGAAGACAAGTGCGCTTTTGTTTTCACGAAGACGGCTTTAAGATTTTATCTTGGGGATTCGTATGTCCTTTGAGTGCGTGGTTCGAGGATGAGCCCTTTTCCCGAGTTTTTCAGACATCTTGACCGGCATCTGAGGAATCTTGCAATAATAGCGGATGGACCTTAACAGCGACTTCGATCCCCACTCTCATCAGGCTCGCGGTTCCCTCACCTGGATACGGACAGGAATCCCACCCTGTGCAAGGAGATTTGACGCCACTGGATATGACAAGCGGGCGAAAATGGAAGCAAGCTGATAGCGGATGGAGGTGCAAGCAATCGGTTTGAGGTCAAACTATCCCAACTTACTTTGAACACAATTTGAGTCACTGACTCAACATTTACTTACAATCTATATCCATATAATTATTCGTGTCTATCGACATCTTCGCATTTGCAAAACAATTTCCTATTTCAAACTGGAAACCTGTATCACTGCCACATCTCATGTCCTGGATCACGTGAATCTACACACAACTAGATGTACTCACGATCCATATGTTTACAACCATTGAGTCTACAGGTTCTAACTACAGCCAGCTCCGACGTTTGCGCCTTAAAGCATTTTATCCAGGTTTCATATAGTCCTCCTTGTCGTCACTTCCAGCCCACGCCTGGGCTCGCAAACAGGGTACGCCGATGCAGCTGTTGCATAGGCATGAGAAACACCTATCCGTGACAGCCGTGTCTTCGCAGTGTATGAACTCTGTCTAGCGGCCAGTGCAGTTTGTCAGATATGAAAACTCTCCGATGAACCTACTCACTACTGATATGATGCTGCCCGCGGACACCGGCAATGCTCCGAAGGCGGCGGTGAGCGCGAACTGTTAGCCGCTGATCATCACTGGTGCGAACGGGCCAAGTCTCGCAGAAACACTTGCACCGCAGCAATGTAGACTCGGCTTTTCGGCGCCAGTATGAGGTCACACGACGCCACAGGTGACGGAAGTCTTTAAACTCTACTGTGACCTGGTAGATGAACAAGGAAATCTCAATCGTCATACCATCAATATTAGGACAATTCCCGAAGTCCATGAATGTATCTGTTACTTCCAGTGGATGCCCCGAAAGGGTGAGAGGATGAGACGTAATTGGCTAGTCCTGTAACCCTACTTTACATTTGGGAGGGAGAAAGGTAAACCCAAATCTTGTGTCGGACATCTCGAGCCCAAGCAACACATGCTGGGCGATCTGCGAGGACTAGTAAGTAGCAGTGGCGTTATCTATATACTCCAAGTAGTGAACGCGCTCACCCGGGAGCAGTTCGACACTACAAGACTCAGTTTTCCAGAACAATCTCCAGGATCTCCTCCTTAGCGAACTTGAAAAAGGCGAAACTGAGCCAAACGCCACTAGTGGCAATGAAGAAGGGCGTAAAATCGACATACATTTGCATGCTGTCCGAAGTCTGACGGTAAATAGCAAGAAGAATGCTGATGAACACCCCTCTTCTGTAATTAGTTCAAAAGAGCCACTATCAGTAGTCAGAAGATGTCTGTTGCCGGTACACTGCGATTCAACTCAAAATTCAGAAAGATGGTAACAGAATCAAAGAGTTGCTTGTGGTACACTAACCAGAGTTGTTCCTCTAGCTGAGAGCGATTCCTAACTTGTCTAATCATCGCAACGTTCACTGGTGAGCATAGCTCCGGTCTTTGAAACCCAGATATCGTACTTACTTCAGCGCAAATGCTGGATACCGCAGGAATTAATATTAAGTTCCTCTTCTGAGTTACAGTGGCTGTGTCATTCGTGTACGTATATGAACTGAACCACTATTATTTTGACTTTAATGTTGAGCACTTTTAGGTATTCCGTACAGTGTTCGAAGTTGTAAGGGATCTTCCCATCATATATATTTGGTAGTGAATCT